CTGCTAAATTAGGGACGGCTAGCGCAGATAGTCCTCGTGTAGCTTTGCGCGAAATTCCAAAACAAATCAAGTCACTCTGCTTCATATTAAGGTCTTTGGTGTTGCTAGCTGTGAAGAGGATGCTGCTGATTTACAAAAGGATTTAGATCATTTAGTTAGTTGGGCAAATATATGGCAAATGGGTTTTATTTATAATAAATGCAAGATAATGCATGTGAGTTTTCATAATTTGAATTATAAATATAATTTGGATGGGAATAGCCTTAACAGTGTCACAAAAGAAAGGGATCTTGGTGTAATGGTTGATCAGTCTCGTGAGCTGTTGCTAGTGGTAGGACAAATAGGATATTAGGTTGTATCTATAGAAATATTGAATACAAGTCTAAAGAAGTTATAATTTTATTGTATAGGTCACTGGTTAGGCCACATTTGGAGTATTGTGTTCAGTCTTAGGCTCCTTACCTTGGGAAGGACATTGAAATGTTGGAAGGAGTTCAGAGGAGGGTTACTAGAATGTACCTGGGATGGAGGGGTTGTCATATGAGGAGAAGTTGAAATCTCAAATTGTTTTCTCTTGAAAAAAGAAGAGTAAGAAGGGATCTGATTGAAGTATATAAGATTGTAAAGGGAATTGATAGTTTTGATGCATCATCATCATTGTTTTCATACATGGAATATAGTAGAACTAGGTTACACTAATATAAATTTGGGCAGGGTAGGAGCCATCTTCAGCTAAGACAATTTTATTTTTCTAATAGGGTGGTTGGTTTTTGGAATGGGTTGCCTTCGGATGTTGTGGAGGCAGTAAATTTAATTGAGTTTAAGAGAAAACTTGATACCTATATGAATGATGAGGGCTGGCTTTAAGGGTTTTTAAATTTATTTATTTAATAGTTTTAATTTAGTTTAGAGGATTGGACAGCCGAGATGGACCAATATAATTTTACAGTTAACTTAAATAAGACTTGTTGGATTATAAACTAGAATTGTACAAAATATAAAAGGCACACACTGTGAAAATATGAGGTGGTGATATCTGCATACCACAACCTTCTTTTGTTTTGTTTTAAGATCATCTTCTATCTGTGTTAATGTTAAATATAAAACCAATATTTCTATGTAATCTGACTAAATTGTTTGAGAGTTATACACTTTGGCCTGAGTGGACACTAATATTAAAAGATGCATTATATTTTAATACACTTAATAGACTGTGTACACAACACATTACAGATGTTACAAACAGCTTTGCTTAATACAGAAACAGCTAACCAAGCAGTTACATCTAACACAGAATGGCTGTGCAACAAAAAATTTTTTTCTTTGATGGTAACATCAAAACTCTCTCATTTAAGTCCTGATTTTAATTATTTTACTGACTAGGTGAAAGTGGTTCAGGAAAAACAGAGGCCTCCAAAATCATCATGAGGTATATAGCTGCGATAACTAATGTTAGTGGCCAGCAAGAAGTTGAAAGGTAAATCTGTGATTAAGTCAGTCATGGTTTTATTATTAGGATTTCTAATTCTACATTCATATTAAATAAATTATTTATTTGAAACATCTATATCTGCAATGAATGTTTTACTTGTTAAGTCAGCCAGACTTGCACTATAAGAAGTTTTGATTTTATACATACAGTGTATGTTAGTTAAGAAGTTTCTTCTTTTATTGATTACTTTCACTTTAATTATTTAGCAGTTTGTTGAAAATAATTTTATGAAATAATTGTCTTATGATTTCTATGCATAACTTTATTATTATAGAGCTATCGTGATTTAAATGTTTCTTATGGCTTAGATTTAATATCATCGTCATGTAGTTGGTAGTAGTTTTTAAGTTGAATGATATACCACAGCTTAAATATCATACATTTGTTAAGCTTATATGATTCTCAAGTAATGTGATTTTGAAATTTTCTGTATACTTTGTTTTATAACACTTTCTTTATTGATTTCAGTGATACATTTTCATTCTTGTACAGTCAGGTTCTTGATCACGTCATGTATTTAGCTGCCAGTAGGTTAAACATTGTGACCCTTATTCATGGCCTGATAACTAATCCACTACCTGTTTCAGTAAATTCTGACTGTATTGTAAAATATTTGGTGTATTTATATACATTGGCTATCTCTTCTGTGTGATGTAACCATAATTCAAGTTGACAGGAGGACCCTATGCTTGTAATAACATGTGTGAAAGAGCTGTATTTGTTATCTGACATTCACATTGGTTTTATACAAGGTAGTGTAGATGTGTTATAAAAAAATTACTTTTGAATTAAATTTACATTCTGAGTTTGTCATACTTTGAAATATTAAAATTGGACATTGCGATGGTTGTAATAATGATTTATGTGGTGTGTATATAAATATATATATAATGTATGTATGTATATTTGCTTAACATGTATTTATTGTTGTAATGTTTTTGTTATTTTTACTCTTAGAGTGAAAAATATTCTTCTGCAATCAAACTGTATTCTTGAGTCATTTGGAAACGCCAAGACAAATAGAAATGATAATTCTAGTCGTTTTGGAAAATATATGGACATCAATTTTGATTTCAAAGGAGACCCGTTAGGTGGCCACATCAATAACTATTTGCTGGAAAAAGTAAGAGAAATTCAAGACATAAGAAAAAAGCTTCAAAGGATAATTTTTGTGGGAACATATTATATGAAATTAAGCATTTGGTATTAAATATTGCTTAATTTTTTGTTATAAATAACAGTGACATCTTTTTGCTAAACCTTGTAGCAATATTTATAACATTTAAAACTCAAAAAAGAGCTAAAATGGGATAGAAAAAAATGTATAATTTAAAAACAACGTTTAACTACTGTTAATGTGGCATCATTAAGTATTCAGCACAATTGTACACGACACTTTAGTACACCTAATTGGTGACATCAACCATATAACCTTGAGCTAGCATAAGTATAAACCTACTCTTTGTGTTTTATTTATTAAAGGTTTGTATTCCTTTATTAAGATACCTTCTTTTACTTTATGTTTATTAATATTAGGTCCTCGACAAATAATTTTTTTATCCTATTTCAGCTGTTTTTGAATTTTAAATTTTGTAAAGTGTGGGATATCGCCAACATTTAAATTTTTATAACAGTTATTAAATTTTAATATTTTTAAAGTAAAAAATACCTTCTAACATTGTTCCCAAATGTGTTTTACATTATAGTGAATCGCTAAGCCATTAGAAAACACTGTTACTTCATAGGCTTTAATGTTTCATGTTTCCACTTGTTGATTTAGAAGAAATATGGAAATTAATTTCTCAGAAATAAGGAAAAACAGAGTAAATAATTTGAATGTTGATGGATTTTGAAATGGAAAAAATGGTGAGAAAAGAAGAAGACTCATTGTTCCTTTTTCAACCAATAAAAACATTGCACATCTGGAAAGTTGGGTTATTATTAGAAGTTGATGTTCTGTTTAACCAAGTTGGTATTACTTGAACTTCATAAATGAAATGTGTTTAGAAGAGTATATTCTTAGCAAAGTTGTTGTTACTGTATGATGTAAAATGTTTATATACTAAAATAAAGGTTGGAAATCACAGAATGCTGTTCATTGTTATAAAATAAAACATGACACTACATAAGACAAAAAAGTCCTAAAATTTATAGTTGCTAACCAGTACTCTTGTGTATTGATATAATAATGTTTTTGTCTACCTCTTTTTTTTCTTCTTTCCAACATTATCATCCTGATGATGGTTAGTTTAATTTATTATGAATGTTTTCCTCTAATTTTTTATTTCATTGTTTAGGGTTAATTATAATTAGTTAAATGTTTACATTATTTTGCCTGATTTTGAGATTTGTACACTGTACTTATGCACTTTTGAAATCTCTACAGTGATGTTGTCTCTTTTGTGATTGATATATACATGTTTTCTTGCCTTCAGTCCAGAGTTGTTATGCAACAACATGGGGAAAGAAATTTTCATTCTTTCTATCAACTTCTTTTTGGAAGCCCAGATTCAGTCCTGTCACAGTGTAAACTAAAACAAGATCCTAAAGCTTACTTTTACATCAAGCAGGGAGGAAGTCATAAGGTGAGGTAACAAGTGTAGGTTCGATGTTGGCAGTAATAATGTAGTGAACTAAAGTTCTTTGGTTTTAATTATGAAATTAAAGTTTTCTTAATTCTCCATCTAAATAATTTAGATTGTCATGTTCATATCTATACTATATGTCTATAATATGTATTAAAACTCATAAGCTCATATAGGGGTAGAAATAATATCCAAAATGGGTAATTTGGAGCAAAGAAGTGTTCACATGATACACAGAAGTAAAGATTATAAACTACTTTTTATGCCAAATTTATTGACATTCATTAATAAAGTTGATTAATTAAAGTTTGAATATAACTATGTAAAAGGTTGTGACATGTACTTTGACCCATCTGTGCACATAGGATTAGCAAGTGATCAAATCTAAAATCTAGCACATCATCTGGGATTATTTAATTTCTGATACTCAATTTTATACCTTGCAGCTCTTTTAACTGACTCGCAACTGCAATGCAAGTGTTAAGAGTTCTTTGTTAAAGTTTTACTTTAAACATTTTCAGTTGTAAAACATGTGGCAGGCAGTGCACCACTATAATATTGTTACATACACCTGTTTGTAAACTGAAGTACATACTGTTATCTTAGGTTTTGTACATGAACAAGATGTTCATGTAACAGTAAAGCAAAATGTGTAAGTATTAAGAATTAATAAATGAAAAATAAAATGATAATGTTCTGAAAGTATATATGTCAGTCTTAACAATATGTGCGTAAAAGACTACATGTAAAAGTTGTGACTTGAAAATAAAGATTTGATGTCTCTTGTAAAGACAAATAATAAAGTCTGATTTATGGCTGAAGTCTTGCACCACCTTCACATAGGTTGTTTTAAAGGAATGTCAATCTGTAGCTTTCTAATGTTTTTTTTATTGTAGAATTTTATATTCTAGAAATAAATTCACTGGAAACTTGCAATGTCATTACTAAGTTGAGGTTGGCCTGTGCTTGTTTGTAAATGTGTTTTGTCTTACAATGATTATCTTTTGTTACTTTGATGATGTGTTTAGTTTCTCTTACAAATGTTGTACATTATTAGATTGCTAATGTGAAAAAATTGACACCTTTTCTGTTTTCACATGGTTTTTAACTCTCATATTTTTTTAGATGGCTGAGTGTGTTTCCGAGAGTACCATCAGTATAACTCTAAGTACTTTTTTTTTTTATCATGTCTGTGTCTAAGAAAGTTATTTTTTCTTGATTATTAGACTTTATTTAAATACACGAGTTGAAAGAAATTATAAATAACATTTAAACAAACCCAATATTGCTAACATTTTTCATAAAATTGGCTTTTCTTTTTCTTTTTTCTGGAAGGAGTTGGGAATGCTAAGATTTGAGGTCGTATAGTTTCTTTAATCTGTAAAATAGAACATGCTAAGCTTGAATTCATTATAATTTCATTCACCTATCAGGTATCATTGTTGTAAGTAGATTAAGGATAGTGAATATCATTTAATGGACCTTTAACTAACTTTAAGTTAAAGTTATGTAGTGTACAGTTTGTTTATAGCTTTATAGTTATGTTTAAGTTTTCATCTAGTGTGGCAATCTTGATACACACCATGTATGATTAAGTCATCAACCATAGCCTCGACTAGCTCAGAAAAGACAATAACATGTAAATCACAAGAACTTTTTATTAACTCATAAAGATAAATTATACAAGATGGCACATAACTACAGGACACAGGATGTTAATATGCTGAGTGGCGATTCCAATTAGGCACAAGTAGATTTGATCCTACAGGGTACTACCTGCAGAAGTAACAAACACTGTAAACTCCCTCTACCTCATTTATTGACTTGGCAGTTAATTAGGTATAGACTGCAGCTCATTGTACATCAATGTCACATGTTTACAGCTATTAACATAACATTATGCTTAAACCAATCACTAATTAACATGTACAACCAATACCATGTTAAATCATACACTGTAGTTCAGGCTTAGCTAAGATGATTATGCAGTTTGGTGCCAGCAGATGCTTGCATCTACAGGAAGAAATAATGATAATATAATTCCTTACATTATCTCGCATTCATGTTTACCTAATCTTTCAGTTTTACAGACATGTAAACATAATCATGGAGAGCTTTATATTACTCCTGTTAACAACTGTTTAGAAGTACGTGTAATGCAATAAGATCTGCTCATGCCATAGCTTTTGAGTGTTCTTTCTTTTGTTTCCTTACATTCTTTAGTATTTTGTCATGTATTATCATTCCTGTTTTTATAGGTTTATAATGTAAAAATTTCAGCCAACTGTGACCTTGAGATAATGGCATTTAGATCATAATGCTTTTGAGTAATGAGTAACTAATTAACTACTGGAATTAATTATGTTTAGGACTAGTAAGTGACTTGAAAAATTTATTCCACAAATTTTTATATACTGAAGATCTCATTAATGTATATTCTAGGTAAATTATATTATAAATGATATTAATTTTTGTTCATATTCGTGTGCCCTAGTGGCTCAACAAGTAAGTAGAACAAATAACACAAATTTGGGATTTGGTCTCTGCAGTAGGCAGAGTGCAGAGAGCCCCATTTATGGAGTTTTTCATTTAAAACAAAATGGTTTTATTTATTCAGTTATACATCATCTGTCTTACCATAAAATTATTTTTCTGTAAATAGCGATGCTTTATTTTTAAGATATTCCTCTAACAATAACTCAGATAGACATTTTTGGAAACATAGGAGCTCTTTGAAAGTACACAAATACTCCACAGTATTACATCTTTTGAGTCATACTGGATGTTAGGTTTAATCATTTCACATAATATAGCCTATTCTGTTTATATTTCAGGTGGATACCATAAATGACAAGTCTGACTACAAGTCTGTAAACTCTGCTATGAGAACACTTGGGTTTCTGCAGGAACACTGTGATACTCTCTGGAAAGTTGTTGCAGCAATCCTGCACATGGTATGTGCAGTTTCTGTTTAATTTTTTGTAACGTTAATTTAGATTAACTTTTAACATTATATAATTTTTTAAGTTAGCTTCTTTTGTGCAACTGAATTTGTGGAAGCACAGTACATTCCTGCTTTTCGTATTGAGAAAGAAAATTGTTAGAGTTATCATCACTTAAGAAACATTTGTATAAAAAAACATGCAAATGTAGATTTTACTAACTTTATTATACTTTTAAGATTGTAACAATATTATAAAAAAGAGAAGAAAATCTAATATTAATGAAAATTTCTAAAACAAAGTTTTTCCTTTTTGTTTTTGTGACCAGGGAAACATTGAATTCTCAATGGAAGATGACCAGACATTTGTTAAGAATAAAGACACTTTAAAAATATTAAGTAAACTGTTTAGTGTGAAAGAGGATGACTTGGAGAAAACTCTCTGTCATCGGGTCATTGCTGCAGGTGGTGAAGTGATGCAAAAAGGACACACTAAAGCTGAAGCAATCTATGGAAGGGATGCATTTGCTAAGGTAATTGTGATATTGCTAAGATGTAATAAGGTTAAAGAGATTACAAGGGATAATAATCTGACTTTTTATTTTTTTTAAATATGTGCATTGGAAATTGGATTTTTTCAGCTCATTTTGATTTTACATTACAAAATCCTGTGAACAGCAACAACAACAAAAAAACTTCTTAAAGGATAGGCCATTAACATTGTATCTTTCAAAATCGCAATTTTGGAAGAGAAATAAGGAATAAAACTATTAGAAAATTTAAAACTACTAAAGTCTGGAAGATGTTCATTTGATTATTTTCTTGCTTCTTTTTGCAATATGTTTTATGTAAGGTTAAAAAAATTTTTTTTTAAATGCTGACACACGCTTGATATTTCATGAGGATGACGTAAGCTTGTTGAAACCTTGTACATTTGCAATAATGTTTCTTTCACTGCTCATTCTAGCTGTCTCCAAACTTTACAGTCATGATATATATATATATATTAGCAAAAATACTATTGTAAATAAAACAAAAAAAACAATTCAATGAAAGCTTGGCTACAGTATTGCTATATGTGTTTGTGAATCTTTGGATTACATGATCAAAATTTAACCTGCAAAATGCATGTAAAATTTTCCTGTTGAATTGACGAGGTCTGGCTGAAATTCTAATCAGACAAGTATTCTGTTTTTAGAGTTGAAAGTTTCATCTAATTTTTGCATCATGCATGTCTTGGAGATAAGGTGAATGTTTGTTACGTTTTTAAGGCTATTTATGAAAGGATGTTTACCTGGATCGTCAATCGGATCAATGAAGCTATAAAGGTGGACACTGACTGGAAGAGTCACGGGAAGAACACTGTGATTGGTGTGCTAGATATATATGGTTTTGAAATTTTCGATAACAATAGGTGAGTTCATGGCTATGTAACCAATCACTTGTTTAATTTCAATGTTGGAAAGTGATGTGATAAGTCTGTCCATGTTGGCAGTACTATGGTTTGTGTCAAAATTTGAATTGTTATTGATAACAGTATGAAATCCTTTTAACTCAAAAGATTCATCCTTAAACACCATGAATAACAGGTTAGGTAGTGGTAGAAAAAAGCTAAAGTAGTTGATTTAGTTTCAAAATTAAGAAAATAAAAATAGACAAAGATTAAAACATTTCAAGAGAAACACAATATTTTGATAGTTATCAATTCTATTGAACAGTGAGGGAGGGGTGGCACAAATAAGTGAAGTTTTTTTACAAAATCATGTTGATTGTATTACATGATAAATGGCATAAAAGTAAAGTTTGGCCTTACTATTATTATTATTATTCTAGTGCACAAGCAGAAATGTACCTATCAAAAATTTCTTACCCATTGTATTCATAAAAGGAAATAGGATTATGATGAAAAAAAAAGATGAATAAAAATATTTTTTTTATTCTGTTATTTTTTTGCTACCAGTAATTCTTATGTTCTTTTGATTTTTATATAAACTATTTAATACTTGATAAAGGGACATATAAGTGGAAATATTATATATCTGTGCATAATATGCTCATCTAATTCAATCAATTTAACATTTATTAAAAGACTTGAAAAATGTACATATAAAATTGTTACGAAGAGATAAAATACACTACCAGTTACTTTTAATGCTGCTAGGATAGTATAGTTCTACCTCTTTGATGTTAAATTCCTCATCAACAGTTTTGATTTCTTTTTAGAAAACACTATTGATTAGTTTCCTTATGGAATAGAGAAGATCAGATTCGAACTGAGAAGCATCTAAACAAAACTGTGTATTTAAGACTTAAGTACATTTAGCCATAACTTACAAAACATTTGTGTTCACATTCATATAAGTGTCATGAAGCTCTTAAGAAACCCCGTAGACTCCAAAGACTTAAATAGCTGTGACTTGAAAATTTTTTTTTATCATGTTAACTTTCAAATGATGTAAAAACAATTAAAGTGATAGTTTTGTGAAGTACCTAAGGAATGTGGATTTGAGACTTCAAAAGCTGATAGTGGATAGAAAGATATGTGTTTTTGTTAAAAATAAACCAATTTGTAAATCATCCAGAATGCTAGGATTTAATAAGCAAATTTTTTTCTAAAATACGAATGGTGGTTTTTAACGTGTTGATTTGAGACTTAAGTAGCTGTTTTGAGACAGAAGAAATATTTCAGATTCAGATACTTTTACGAAGCATATAAAATTATTGTATGAACTTGTGATGGAGTCAGTTGTATTACAATGCTGGCATTAAAAGAACTTTGTTTTCCATCTGTAATAGCTTTTTGATAATATCAAGTTACATAATCGAATTTGTTCCTACAGTTAAAAATACTTAATGCATTGGCTATTTTGATGAGACATTGTTGTAAATAGCTTTTGAATGAACTGTTGTAATAAAACTTCGTTTTCACAGTTTTGAACAATTTTGTATCAACTACTGTAATGAGAAGTTGCAACAGCTTTTTATTGAGCTTGTGCTGAAGCAAGAACAAGAGGAATATCGTCGGGAAGGAATTGAATGGCAAAACATTGAATACTTCAACAATGCTATAATTTGTAATCTGGTTGAAGAACCTCATAAAGGTATAATCTCCATAATTGATGAAGCTTGCCTTAATGTAGGAAAAGTTACTGATGAGGTTAGTAAACATTTTCTTTTCAATTTTGTTACAAAATGTTGTATTTATTGTACTTCATGCTATTTCGTTTATAGTTTTGAAAAGTTTGAATAGTTTTCCAGTTCTTATAGTTTGTGTATTTTAGTCTTCTTCAGTCTACTACAGTTTTTTATCATGCTATTTCGTTTATAGTATTGAAAAGTTTGAACAGTTTTCCAGTTCTTATAGTTTGTGTATTTTAGTCTTCTTCAGTCTACTACAGTTTTTTACCAAGAAAACCGTTAACGTATAAATTGTAATGTGGTATGATTAGACAAAAGGGAAAATAAAAATACTAATGCTAACTGTAGAAGAGTTATTGGTGTGAGAAAATTATATTATATAGTATGGATTGATGTATTTTTAATCCTTTCTATTACCATCACATGTGGCCAGCATATTTTTTTAAATTTCCTTTCCTTTGATTTTTAAGTAGTATATCTGTGATGTGTGTAATAAATAACTTCATGATTAATTTTTAATTAATCATTATAAGATGATGAGTCAGAATGTGGCCATGCTAACACAAAAATGTACAAACCATAATGTACTCACATTGTTAACCAAAGGTTTAAAATTAGCAAACCATCTCTAGCACTGCATAAACCAAGTAGCACCTTATGATGGGTGTGAAGTTCCCTTGAAACAAATACTTTCTTTTCTAACACTCTAACCTGTACTGTAAGGTTAAACTTACTATGTACTAAATGTTAGGCTGTTTTGTATTCCAATGTTTGAAATAATGATCTTATCTTTATCTGCCGAAATGTTTACAAATTGAAAAAGGTGCTTAAACACTAAGCTTTAAATATAAATTCAGTAGTACTTGATAGATATGTTAATGGATTAATTTTTTTTATCCTGAACATTGTTGCAAAATATTGAGTAAGTATGAATATGCACAGTCATTTCTTTTATTATGAAGTATAGGAAGGATAGTGGTTTTGTTAAAATGTGTTCTATTATTATTGTTACCAGTTATTACTTAATTTCAAGCTATTCAAATTGGTTGGGAAATATGAACAATTGTACAAGTAGTGACAGTTGTAAGCTCTTACAAAGTAGGCTTATAAAATCTGAATATTATGGAAAAAAGATGTAAACTATCAAATGTTAATGAAATTTGGCAGATTATCAGTAAACATTACAATGCTTTCATACACAAATTACCAAATTGTTTTTATTAAGTCGTAAGGTTTGTAAAGCAATGTCTTTCTCATGCCTTTTCTTTTCACATTTTGCCTATCTAACATGAAAAATAATTTTAGGATTAAAAATTTTCAAATTTCACATGCGAAATCTTTATAATGTCCAGATAGTTATCAAACGTTTTTCAAGAAAAAACTTTATATTTTATCTGTTATTTTCAGTAATGAATCTCTGTACGGGTTTGGTAGATTTGACTGATCTCGTAACCACCATAGAAAAATTAGAAAATGAATATAGATTATGCCTCTTTCATTCTAGAATGAA